CTTATTTGGTATTTTATGAGGAGCAATAAATGTGGCCATGAAAAATCTTAATGTTGTTGGTGGCGGAAGCATAGCTACAGCAACGAGAGAGGGAGAGAAAGAGAAAGGAAGATGGCAAACCAGTGATGGTGAACATTAGCAAAGAAGGAACACAGGAGCACAGGTGTTCAGATATTTCTCATATTCTTTTTCTTAGACTAGATTTATTTTTATTCATGTAAGTTAATTATTATTGATTATGAAATTGGGCTCAGGTTTGGTTAAATATTTTTCAAATTGCAAGTACGTTGCACATGATAACAAGCACCCAATTTTTACCATATACTCCAGCATAGTTGCTGCTCATGTAGAGTTTCCATTTACTTTAATTAGCTCAGATTGATAATAGAATGTGGGATTAATTGAGCAGGAAACATAGTATAAAGGCTTAACTGCATATTCTGCACAAGTTTAAGGGTTTTCTACTTGCTTTTAAGCCTTCCTGTTTTAGGTAATTAAACACTTTGCAGATGTTATCTTTTGTCTTCAACTTTTCCATTCTTAGATCAATAGAATCCATCTATTCAGAACTTGATCATCTAAGTTGCAAGAAATTCCATATACTCACTCTAAACATTCTCTAGTCATGCAACTGCAAAAGTGCTCAGGAGCCTATTCTGCACTAGAGTTGATCTGCACTGGTTCACTAACTAATTGGACAGAGAAATGTTGAAGCAACTTGACATAAGCTGGATATTAGGTGTTCATATTTCCTGTTTATATTTGTTCGTAACAAATTATCATTATCTATGTATCAACCAGTGCCAAGCACAGACTATGTGCGGGGTAGTTAAAAGGCATGCCCAGGGCCTCAAGCATGGTATCTAATGCCATGCATGGGAATGTAAAAAACACAGATTTGTGTGTAAACTGACACCAGTGTGAGCCATGTATATACTCTGGCAGTAAATTTACCTTTACCCTTTTGGTGATCCTTGCGCCTGTACTGGAACCAAAGTTTTGCAACACTTTGACTAAAATCCACATGTATCCTTCTATCATCGATCAAGGCATTATCCATCTGCCATGGGAAATTAGGTCAACAAATTTCTATGCCCAGGATAAAAAAAATCACGGAAAAATTAAATATTTGATTAAAAAAAACAAATGTTAGCAGCTTTTCTAGAACCCTTGACATTTGAAACATTTCTCAGCAAGTTTTCCAAAGAGCCTGATGTTAGGACCACTGCCATCATTTTCATGTCCATAAGAAAGATGTTGCATCGCTTATTCCCAAGGACAAGAATAATGCCCATTGAAGTGTTAAATAACTTAGGAATGAATTTTATTTACATTGTATATTTTTTATGAGCTTAATTGTAAATTTTAATATATTTAGGGCATTTCAAGTTATATACATATTAGTTTTGCTTATTTAGCAAGTACTAGGTTTAGAAAGTAGGCAATAAATGCTGATATTATTTTTCATTTAACCAACTTTTGTTGATGAATTAAGTAACTAGATCTGAGCATTGAGATTTTCCCCTTCCTCTACTTCCTAATGGTAGGTGTTAAACATTTTGACAAAATGCTGAAAAGACAGAATTCTATATCAGAGTTCTAGAAGAGCTACATAACAGTATGTTAAACTCTCTCCTATGCCAAAGAACCCCCTCCCCTATCCCCAAGGTGGAACTTGAGACCTCCAAATTGCAGTCTCAAGTAACAACCATTTTGGGTGTATCCTCCAGGACCACTACAATCCTGATTGACAAATCTGGTAGTTGAAACAAAGAAAAAATAGTTTTCTTCCCAATTAAATCCTGGAAACCTGAGACTTTACAATGAAAACAACAATAATAATTATATTTCCTAGGAAAACCCCATAGTTTGTTGAACAACAAAAGATTAATAGTTACTTGTGTGCTCAATTCACATAGAAGCTAAATTAAACCACAAAAGATTAATAGTTTCTCATGTGCTCAATTCACATAGATGTATCTTCAAATATCCAGAAAGTAAGAAAACATGCAATACTAAAGAAAAGCAAGCAAACTTTTTGTCTTATATTTTACCTTGAAATATGCTTGTTCACATGCCTCTTTGGTCTCGAATTCTGTAATAATAAAATATGATTGATAAGATTCTCTATCCAAGAGAACATAACATAATAATGATCAGGTTTGCAATTTTTTTTCTACAAATACATATCAAGGCCCATGGTTCATAAAAGAAGTAATTCTAGAAGAACATTTTTGACCTCCTTGTTCTTTTCCATACCTTTCTTGAACTATGTTACTCAGACTTGAGTGTGAATGTTGGATATGGGTACATTCAATTTTTTTCTTAAGTTTTTCCCTATATTTGGAGGGTCAAACCTCCAAACCCATGTCCGTCGGATATGTACCTGACAGAGTACTTCAAGGAAATGAAGTGTCAGAGCAACATAGTTCTTGAATTACTTCCCCTGAACTCACTTGCTGAATAATTTGCCAACCAATTCTCAAAATAATAGCTAAACAAACTTAGATTTAGTTGTAGCTTGATAAACTAAAAAATTCAACATTGGAAAATAAAATGCTCAAGTTTTACTTATGGAAAATTAAAGTACTGAACCTATACAATATAAATCGTTTGATATGCTGCTGAAAATTATAGAATTGAGTAGATCTTTATTTTTTTTATTTTTTTATTTTTGTAAAAGAGATATGAATTTATTAGGTTTACAATAATAAAAGTTAAAAAAGAAAGAATATACAATGTAACTAAATGATAAAAATTTCATTCAATAAGATAGTGAGTTTTTGAAAAAAGTTATCAAACGCTTTCAAAAAATATATATAATCTATGAAAATTTAGTTTTCAATGATTTTAAAAGCTAATGGTTTATCGAATAGCACCTTAGTAAAATATAATCATTGCACTAACATGTGAAGCCGATGCAGGGGTGATGTTTACCCTTCAATAGCTCAAATTACTTATCAGTCACAATAATCTTGTTTCATAAGTGCCTAACAAAGCAGGTAATAATCTATTACACTCAGACTCAAGTATGGGAATAGCATGTCAGTCTGTATCCAAGCGTCTGATTCATCAATTGCCCTAAGAAACAGTGATACAGTATAAAACGGTCCTAAAGAAGGATATGACTGTCAAGTAGGCACTTTCTAATAATTTTTGGAACAATCTTGTACACCTTAAGTGTATACCAAGCTTCAAATGGTTTTTATTTACACTTTCAATTTTCCCACCTACCTCTTTGTTCAAAGAGGACTAATCTTTAGAACAGAATCAACTACACACCTTTTAGCCTATGTTTAATGTTTTTCTTCTAGCCTTTGATCACTTGATCTCAATGGTGACCACTCATAAAAGACACATGGCTGAGGCAATGCCTCAATATGAACTAACAATAATTACAATTACACATACCCATAAAGATCAGGCGAATGTGTAATCATGAAAGCTTAAGGTGGCATCTAAGAACTTGATGTAAAAAATTGTCTAATAAAGCATCCATGAGTCAACTACTATTTACAAATTCAATCAGAATAGAGAAACAGAACCCAAAGCAACTACATTGATAGGCGCACTGTAATCTATTTTGCCAGCTTATTATACTTTGTTTCATCTTCTGTATTCAAAACAGTAACTGTCAATCAAAAACAATATCTAACTTTCACTTAAGATTTGGATCAGAGCTAGAAAAAGGTTCCAACACCTTCCGTAGGCAAGTTCAAAGTTGTCATAAATTAAAGAGTACAGCGAGAATACCATTATTTAAACCAAAATAAAGTAGACCTGAACATCATTGTTTTCTACACTACAAATAACAGGTTATAGATGTTCTTGGATAAAAAATAAATAACTAAAATCAAGATTCCACTCACCAATGAAAGCATAGCATAAGCTGTCTCCAGTCTTATAATCACGGATTACCTCAGCCCTGTCATTTAATTGCAGTGAAAAAGACATCCAAAGTCACAAGCATCCCAATATCACCAAATATTAAGAATATTTATACTTACGATAGTACAGTTCCAAAACGTGAAAAGATAGTATGCAAGTCCTCATCCTGCAGTTAGAAGAGCCAATCAAAAAGTGTCTTCAAATGCAAACAGTAAGTGTTGTTACTTTGGTTTTAACATTTTGTCTTGTAGGAAGGAAAAGTTGTCACGGATAAATTAGCAAATAGGTCCTTTCCTCTGATTAAGACAAAGGAACAAGTAGGATAGGATGCAAATTATCAGGTTGAAGAGAGCAAGATGTTTATAACAATAAATGAACCCCTCATGTTCTCAGCCAACTTTTCCTTCCTTGTCAGTCCTTCCCTCTGACAAACTTACCTTATCAAAGTCCAAATAAATAAAATAACTACATAAATGAATATATATATATACATATATTATCACCATCACTGAATACAAAATAAGCACTCACTTCAGTGACTGGATTCAGTTTACAAACAAATAGAACATTCTCAGGAGGCTTAATCTCAGCATCAGGAATATCCCCAATCTGCAATGGAGATAAGATATTAAATAACTTGAATAGAAGGTCACATTCAAACAAAAAAACCACAACCATCATGGATGTAGGAACTTACACTTTCAAGTACAACTGCTCTTGAATGGGCATCCTTTGCACGGAGAACCTCCTCAAGTTCTGCAGTACCTAATTGTTCATCCATGGGAACCCAATCATCTTCAAGCCGAACATCATCATCAACCTAGAACCAAGTGATGAGAAACTAGTTGTGACTATGAATAGAAAATACTTAACAAGAGCAGTAGTATATTCATTGGCCTGATATAAATTACAAATATGACATGAAATTTGACCATGTTTACTCATTCTTAATACCTAACATCAGTTTTTGAGTACAAAAACACTAGTATCCATTGCAGCTGAGCATCAAATTGAAGAGGTCAGACATCCCCATTTTCTACAGAATCACAATCTGGATCCCTCACAGGTGCATAATGAAGTACCCACAAAGTACCGACTTCAATATTCTCTCCTATATTCTACTATTCTACAACTACATAAAAATACTACAAATGGTAGTAGGGAAAACAAGAATTACACAATAAAACTGAAGAAAAAAAAGTGTCAAATAACCAACCTGTTGCAAAATTTACTCAAGTGAGTCATATGCTAATTTAAAATATAGTTAACAGTGTGAGTGTATGCACGTACACAGTATTCTGGAAAACACAGAATGTGCCTTGTCCAACTCCCCAGTCATTTTTAAGCATGCTAGGAAAAAGCATCATCCACTTCCACATACATCCAACTCAGATAAATTTCTTCTCCTAACTTTATACCTTTACTCATTTCCATTCTCAACCACTCACATCCCAAAATCAATACCTTCATGTTTTTTTCCTCTTTTCTCTCTTTTTGATATAGAGTTGAGAAGGGCAGCAGAACAAGAGTTGAAAAGGATCAAAGAAAGGGGCCAATTTTTCTGCCGTAATACAGCCAATGTTCAATCAGCCCAGAGAAAGCTAGCAAGATATATATTTAAGTACAGATAAACTCAACTGGCTGAGCTCAAATACTTTTACATATTGACTTGAAGATACAAATTATCTGCTACAACAGTAAAAATCATTGAACCAACCACCCATTTAAAGAAAAAAAATGAAGGTATATTCTGAAATTGATTGTTTGCAGGCTGAGTACTCTAGGTACAAAACAAACCATTGAAAACTCAACCTCCCATTGAAAGCTTTTTTAATTTTTTTTCTTGGCAGCAGGGGGAGCCTTTCGTTTCTCTTTAAAATTCCTTGAGACAAAATTACTGATGTTTGGATGCAATCAGCCTGTTTTTATTGAGAACTATAATAAATCAAATATAACAAAAAATGAGCTTTTAACAGAAAAAAAAAAAAAAAGAACGATGCCCCTCAAGCAGCCGCCTGTTAAATTTGTCACTGAAAAGTTAGCAATTTCTACTTTAGAAGTATCAAGTGGGAATCTGGTATTACATCAGCCAAAAGCAAGTTAAGCAAAAGGTAAGAAAAATAGATATATCAACACATTCAAAACCATTAGAATTCCTGGCATCCATAAGCTCACAAAAGGCAATGTGAGACAATTCAATTTCAGTTTATGAAGCATCATAGATGCTTCTAAGAATTTCATAACATACAGTATGAGACTTTTTCTGCTTCAAATTGTTAATGATAAGAACATTTCAAGATACTATGTCTGTACAACATCTTACTTTAGAAAATGAGTAAGCATCTTGGCTGAGGAACTCATAATTGCAAAAGATATATGCACATTACTTGCCATTCATCCAACTATTATGAACCTTTTAAAATACCAATAACTAACATCTGAGAGAGTCCTTACCTCATCCTTTGGTTTTCCTTCAGGGGAAGCATCAGGAATCAACTCAGACAATTGGGAAGGATCATCAAAAGGATCCTCTAATATATATGTGTGTTTGATTCTGTTCAATGTTTAATAGAGACAACTAATCAAATATGGGAACAAAATATATTCAAATGAACTACTACCAGAGAACAACACATATGGTCCACAGCCCAGATTTTGCAAAAAGAACATATACAGAATGGAACATGATTCTACCTGATATTCTTATATGGCCTGTTCTTCTCATCCACATAAGCTTCATTTATCCTGGTCAAAGTTTCAAACCCTTCAGCAACCTCCCCAAACACCTGCAGCGATAGCTCTTAGGAAATGTAGGATATTATAAAAATAAAGCATACAACGTCAGAAAATGAACCTTGACCATATAAACATTAAAAATTAATAATCATATGCATTCAATCAAACCATTCCTTATCACTCATAAACATAATGACTTGCATATTTCCATTGGTAACTCAGTTTCAAGGGACAAATGACATATGCTGCTCTGAAACAAGTGTGAGTTTCCCAGGCATGTACCAGAAACAAGTGCATTCAAATTTTTTCCCAAGTTTTCCTTATATTTGGAGGGTCAAGAACACATATCAATGTCCAATTTCAGGCAGCAGATATGTGTTTAACATAGGCACCTCAGGAAAAATGAAGAGTCAACAGCATAGCAAATAACCACTCTGAAAGGAACCACCAGCAACTCATAAAATCCAAAAAACAGTTCTCAAATCTCAAAATCATTTCAGCACAAATCTTAGAAACACAAAAAAGGGACATATGAAGGAATACACTAGGTAGACAGCACAGAATATTCTTCTTGTACACAACAAAAGAAAATGAACAGATTTGTCATATACCTAGGGTAAACTTATAAGAAACTTTTAAGTTTTTAACAAACAAACGTCCACTTCAACCAACACAGGAATCAAGACAGATATACCACATTGAACTCTTTCAACCACCTATCTCAATACCTCAGCTATGGTTAACCTATATGTAAATACACATAAAGGATTTAGACTAGGGAGTCAAATGAAATTGTTAGAAAGCCTCCCAAAAAATACTGCATAAGCTGCAGTTTACAAGAGTTTTCATATTTCATATTGAACTACAAGAAGTGAACGGGATAGGGACATGATATCTAGAAAGTTATAACTGCTTTGTTTCATAAAAAACTGAAAGTAAGTAAAAGGATCAAGAAACTTACTGTGTGCTTCCCATCAAGATAGTCTAGATCATCACGAAGTGTGAAATAGAACTGAAAAGAAAAAGTAGTGTTATAAGCAAAATTGTGAGTTAACAACTGCAAGCTGCTTCACATAATGCCTAGAGCTACAAACAAACGAACAACTCATCTTACCGAAGCCTTATTCGTTGTAGAACATGAAACAAATTTCTTATCATAAAAATATAAAATAAAGGAGATTTTGAGCAATTATGAATGAAGCAAAAGAACCTCATACCTGGGAAGCATTAAGATTCTCCCCAGCACTAGCCATTGCAACAGTGCCTTTCTTAGAATGCTTCAAATCAAGATGAATCTCATCACCGAAAAATCGAGCCTGATCCCCATATAGGAATCTGAACGGAAAAGGAATAGACTCATTATCTCTCAATGGAAACTACTGAACAAGAAATCCCAAGAACTGACAGTCATAGTAATCCAGTACAAAATACAAGATAGCAAACTAGGAAATTCTAGCATGTTCAAGGGAAAATCGAAAAGAGAGCAAAATCAATAACCAATGAAGGTAATCCTTGTTTCTTACTTATACACCGAATCTCCACCAGACCCCGTCCCAGTTGGGTCCCCTGTTTGGGCAGTAAAATCCTTTTGAACCGCGTGAAACAGACACCCATTATAATACTTAATCCTGCACCCAAGAGCATTTAAGTGAAATGGAAAAAGCCAAAAACTTTTATTACGAATGAGCTACAGAAACCATTATGATAGTACTAAACTTTAGGAATTTAAAAAGAAGATGTGGAGAATTGAGTTTTAGGAAAAGAAGTTACCTGCAAAGCTTTAAGAAATTTTTGGAGGTCAAGGGGCATTTGTCTGTGTACAAATCTATCACGATATCGCCTAAGCTTGTTACTACTAGAACTGACATCGTTTCCTAACGCTCTGTTTGGTAGTGAGGAAGGAAAATGGAGGGAAGGGAACAAGGAATGGAAGCAAAGGAGGGAGACAGAGGAACCGGACCAGAAGCGGAAAAGAAGAAGAGATAAAGGTCGAGAGCTGGGGGTTGGGCCCGCGGACAGCTGTCGGCAGCCACGAGAAAGACCCAATAGCAATAGTTGTGGAGGTGGAGGTTGAAGCCGAGAAACCTTCGACGGATGAACGAGGCGGAGAGGAATGGATCTACTTTCAGCTGGAGGTTTCAGGACCCAAAGCCTGTGGCCTCGGCCCGAATTGGACCGAGAACTTGGATATAGGTTTTTCTTGACCCGGTCCAAATCAGTATATTATTACATTAATAAAAATATTTATTTATTCTTATACTTCAAAAAATATTTTAAAACATTAAAATAATTATCTAATATATTTTTTAATATTATAGTATGAGTGGATCAAACCCAGATGCAAAGCATAATTTTTCGAAAAATATTTTAAAACATTAAAGTGATTGATGAATGAATATAACACATGGAAATAGGTCATAAGAAAATATTGTTGTTCATTGCTACATTGCGACATTGAATTTATGTCGATAAGATTACATTATATAGGTGATAATAGTTGGTGTTGTATCTTTATAGATATAATTATTGTTATCTTCCAATATCACAAATTTTATTGAACATAAAAATAGTCAAAGTACTCCTAAATAAAAAGATATTTGGAGTAGTTTTAAAATCAATTTATTTTCAATTAAGTTTATTGAGTTTTCCGTTGTCTTAAACTATAAGTCATTTTTAAGAAAATTTGTTTTCAAAATTTGAATTTAAATAATGTAGCTAAAGGAGGAGATTGTTAGATTTTCTCAAATAATTGAAGTGCAGAGTTACATTATTTAATTTATTTTGTCTTTTTATCAAAACAGACTAAGTTAATTTAGTATTCATAATGAGCCAATATTATAATCCATAATAAGATCTAATAAGGTGGCTTAAGCTTCAATATTATAAATAGGCTTGATATTGTGCACTTGTGTAAGAAATCTTAGATAGTGGATAAGATTAGGAATTCATTTTATAAAGACAAGTCTAGTTCTTCTCTCCTAACACATTAAGACTTCATCCATCGGAAAGTTGTAGATTAAGGAGAAGAAAGATCCTACCTCACCGAATCCCAATAGTTAATCTGGATTGTATTGTTGTTGTTGTCAAAATCATGAATCAAAAAAAGAGTATGATTTTATGTTTTGACTTTCTACAATGATGAATCATAGGTTAAATATAATTTATTTTATATAAAATGTCAATGTAACTTACTACTATAATCTTTCTAAACTGGAGTTTATGAGAGTGGTATCATGTTTTTAGGCAAAGTGTTGGTTAGGGCTAATTTCATTAGTCATTGATCTTTAGTTTCTTGCTGCTTGGTTTGTTTATTTTGAATAAGCTATCAACTCTAAATTCATGGAAGAGATTAACGATAGGAAAAAGTAATTCAAGTTGTTTGATGAAGAAGCAAACTTTGTTAGGTTAGATACTAGACGAGGTTTGGGCCCTTTGAACAATCATAAAGAATTTTGCTTGTTGGGAACCATATGGGACAGAAGGAAAGTCAATTTAGATGCTATGATCAAAATGTTAAGCTCTTTGTGGAGGCCAAATGGATGATTAATGGTTAAGGGAATTAGAGAAAATAAGTTTTTTTTTTTTTTCAGTTTTGATGTTAAACAAGATTGTAACGGTATTGGGTCAAGTCCAAACCTAACTTTGTTAAATCAGGTTTTTTTTTTCAATCTTTTTCTTTCATTTTCCAATTGACTTAACACATACCCCCCCCCCCCAACATCTCTTTCTTCTTCCTTTTTCCATATTCTTGCATCCATATCACTCTGCCACTTATATTTTTAAAGTCTAAGTTTCTCCATTCATTCCTTTCACAAAAAAATCATTCACCATTCCACTCTCCATATATTCAATCAAGTAATTGTTATTCAACAATTTTTATTTGTTTTGAGATTTTTCTTTTGCTAATAGTCACTGCCATTGTTAGAGTCCATAGATTTTACATATTGAATGGGTAACTTGTATATGGCTGATGATGGGTATGCAGATTTTTCTTCTTATCTGTGCTTTGGGTTAGGCAAATATTTGTTTAATTGAGGATGATTATGGCGAATATTTTGCTGCTTATAATTTGGGTTCATAGAATTTTATTTGCTTGCTAATGCATTTGTTGAAAGTCTTGTTGCTTATGGTGTGAGTTGGTAAAAATTTGCTTGGTGGGTGATAGGCTTATAGTAGTAATTGCAATTTTGGTTTAGGAAACAATTAAACTATGGCATTCACACATTTGGTGATTTTGGAAATAAATTATGCTGAAATTATTTGGTTTGATGTCTTTTACATACTTTTATATTTAGTGCTCAAATTTTTTTTAAAATTTTGGATATAATTGAACTCTTGTTGTTTTGGTTGGCTTTTGTCTTGGTTGGTTATTTTTGGAATTCCTACAATAATGGCACTTAAGCATTCAAAACTAAGTTCAAGCTGCGTGTTTGATCAAATGAAGTTCATCTTAGCGTATGCTTCAACAAGATATTGTACTTCATTGATTAACAAGGTGCCCATCCCTAAACAGGGTTTAACTATTCCTCTAATCCATTATGAGGAGATGCATTAGATAATTGAAGAACGACATTGGTAGCGCTTTTGTGACCCACCTAAAATTGTGGTTGTGCCGATGGTAAGGGAGTTTTATGCAAATGTATTTAAGTATGTTGATGGTGTTACTTTTGTATGTGACAAACAAGTACCATTCCACAATCGAGCCATCAACGAATTCTTTGGGACTCCAAACATTGACAATGATGAGTATGGACAATATTTAGGGATCATCAAGATTGTGATGTGATCATCTTAGAGTTTTGTGTTGTAGGAGTATAATGGAAAACGTCTCATGGTGAACCTATCTCATTTAAATGTAGTGCAATGAAAAAAGAGTTAAAAGTTTGGTTACATTTTGTGGCAGCGAGATTGCTCCCATTGATTCACATCAGCAGTGTGACAAAAGATCATGCAATTCTTATTTATGTCATTCTGACGCATAAATCCATTGACGTTGGTAAGGTTATCTCTCATGTCATATTGCATACGGGCTGAACTAAACAAGATGGTATAAGATTTCTTTCATTGATAATTGCCATGTATGAGAAAGCTGGTGTGTGTTGGAATGATAAAGAGGAATTGCAACAATCTAAAATCCCAATTGCGATAGGCATTTTAAGGTGATTAGAAGAGTCTGCAATTGTGGCTAGTAGTTCCTCCCAAGCTACTTCATAACCTCCATAGACGGGTCCAACCCATAATGTTGCCTAAATGAATGGAATGGATTAATTGTTGTCTAGACCACTAAAAGAGGTAAAATCAAACACTTGATCAAATGATGTACGCATATGCAGAGCATATCAGAATGGATATGGCTACTTTCCCTTCTTTACCCAAAGATTCAGACTTTGATGATGATTTTGGTGAGACGAATGTGGATGACTGGTCGAATTCATCTAATAATTTAGAGGAGTATTCTTTATTTTTTCTTAATTTTTTTATCACATTGAGGATAATGTATTGTTCCAAGTTTGGAAGAGTTCTTTTTAAAATTTATTTATATTGTGCCTTTATTTATGTTTATGCTTATTTACTTTTATTTGCTTTTATGTCTTTTAAAGTTATGTTTTGCATGCTTTATTTGTCTTAAATTAAAAGAAAAATAAAAAAATTTTGCTTGAGATATTTTGCACCTTATATATGATATTCCCAATCCTATGATGGTATTTTAACTATCTTGTGATTCTTAGTTTTTAGGAAACATATGGTTATGATTTAATTTTATGTGATATTCTTGTGTTAACTTTATTTTATGATTTATTTTAAAATGTGACTTCCAATAATTTGAGCATTAAATCTTTTACTTAGAATTGTTGTGTGATTTAGAGAAAGTTTATGTTGATAAAAAGTATAGTGAAGTTTAGAATTCTATAATTTGTTTAATTCTCTCTCGAGGTGAAATCTTAGATAATACTTAGGGTCCGTTTGGTTAAAGGGAAGTAAGGCACATTCCCTATATTTTAAAAAAGTGTAATCACATTACATTGTTTGGTTGCAGGGAAGTATAAATGGCATTTCATTGCAGCAAAAGTCATTACCTTTAGCTAAGGGAATCTCATTCCCTCAGCTCATCAAGGGTAAGTTACTTTCCCTTAACAAAGGGAAAGTAAAAACTTTTTTTTTTTTTTGCCCATCTTACCCCAGCAATCTTTCATTTTTTGCTTTTCTCTTCTTCCTACTCACCCACACATTTTTTCTTCGTCTCACTGCCCCAAAGTTGTCTTCCTTCTTTTGCTTAGGTATGTATATAAAAGATTGCAATGTATACTTCTTAGGCATTCAAATATTTTTCTAGTATTTCAGGGCTTTTTTTAGCTTGAGTAAATTAGGTTTTAAGGGTTTAGGGTATTCTTTGTGATTTTGGGGTGTGTTTCCTCTATGTGTTTAGGGTTAATGCAAATGAAACACTTGTGTAAAGGTTAATTTTGTATAGCTATTAGGGGGTCGGGCTCCCTCTGTTACTTCATATTTGGTGCAGGGGCTAGGGTCTTAGCCTAGATTTTTAAGGTATTTTCAGCAAAAGGAAAGTATTGATTTTGTTTCTACATTTTGCTTGATTGATTTTGGCTGTTACTTCATATTTTTGACTAGAAAAATATGTATAATAATAACATTATGGAGATAACTAGAGTAGAAGGGTTTAGGGTTTTTAGTCAAGAAGGGAAAGAAAGGATCAAGGGAAGAGGGAGAATTGTGTCTTCCTTGTTGGCTTTAAAATAATAGTTTAAGGTGGATAATAGTTTTGTAGCTTTTGTAAGATGGTTGGTTCAAGTTTATATCATGTTTAGGGTAGTGTTTATATGGTGTTGAAGGTATATGATACATTACATTGTACTTTTACAATACATGTGTTTCATAGTGTTTATATAGTGTTTAGGGTTTTTAAGGTAGTGTTTATATAGTGTTTCAAGTTGAATTCATGCATTCTTTTTTTCTCTTGTCTTTACATATGTGGATTGAATACTACATACAATGTTTTTCAGCTAATTGTTGTTAATTACACATTGGTTAGGGTATGTACTTTACTTTATTGTTTCATTCTATATGGTATTAATTCCAACATTGCTACATTTGTAAAGTGGATTGTCTAACAATTTTTAACATGTTGTCTTTATATATTATAATTCAGACAATTA